AACAACAACAACAACAATTCAATCTGTATGCTGAGCAATAATCTAAGAAGCTGGACTATGTGAAAAATGCTGAAGGAAGGCACAATACCAACTTGATGCATTCAAATACCATAGCTGTGATTGCTAAAAGCAGAGAGGTTTTAAAGCAGTTACTGAAGCCGATCAAAGAATAAAGCCTTCAATATGGATTACAAAGCAAGGGAAAAAACAACCCTCACAACTGGAACCCAAAAAACCTCATGATAAATGCAGAAAAGATTGATGTTGTCTGGCAGTTCACTTAAATAGGATCCACAATCAATGCTCATGGAAGCAGCAGTCAAGAAACCAAATAATGTGTTACACTAGGCAAAGGTGCTGCACAGGGAACCAATGTGTGCCTGGTCCAAAAGTCCCAGATGCATGTGAAAGCTGGACATGAATAAGGAACAGGGGAGGAAAAACTGATACATTTAAATGATGGCGCTGGTATAAAATATTGCAAGTACTGCTACTGTTGCTGGTAAGTGTTGTTTACTCGGTTTCAACTCACAGTGAGTGACACCATCTAAGGTTTTCGAGGCTATACATTTTTGAGGTAGCAGAAAGTGACTTTCTCCCTCGGAGCAGTTGGTGGGCTTGAACTGCTGACTTTGTGGTTCGCAGTCCAGAGCTTCTTCTACAAAGCCACCATGCTCCCCAAAAGTAACTGTGATATAATGAATTATCTAATGTCTCGTCTAGCCATAGTCTGTAAATCCCACCAAATGACATTTTTGCCCTGCTGGTTCTGGGTCTGAGAAGATATTGATGTTGGTGTTAGGTCCTATCCAGTGGGTTCCTACTGAAAGCGACCCTAAGTACAACAAGATGAAACACTGAGCCACCGGCCCTGCACTTTCCTTGTAATTCTTGTTACACTTGAGCCCATTGCTGCCACCATTGTGCCAATCCATCTCATTGGAAGTCTTCCTGTTTTTCGTTGACCCTCCATTTTACCAAGCATGATGTTCTTCTCCAGGGATTGGTCCTTCCTGATCACATGTCCAAAATGTGAGCAATGAAGTCTCGCCATCCTGGCTTTAAGGAGTATTCTGTCCGTACTTCTTCCAACACAGATCTGTTTGTTCTTCTGAAAGTTCATGGTACTTTAATATTCTTCTCCAATACCATTATTCAAATGCATCAGTTCTTCCACAGTCTTCCTTAGTTACTGTCCAACTTTCACACACATATGACGCTACTGAAAATACCAGGGCTTGGCTTGTTGTTGTTGTTAAGCACTGTGGAGTCAGTTCCGACTCATAGTGACCCTG